CAAAACCGATAAGAGCAAAAAGAAACGCGAAAACAAAAGTACAGAAAAGAGAGAACAGCATGCAACAACGTAAAATTCATGTCTAAGACGTTAACCTATATATATGTCTATCCTGTCTGAGTATTTTTATTTTTTTCGAATTTTTACATTGAAAATTTCAATGAATTGAATTTTTCAAATTTCAAATTAACTTTAAAAGAGCAGCGTCATAGTTTTCAAAAAACTCACGATTTTTGGGAGAGTTTTTCATTTTGAAACGACCATGAACGCTTTTTAGTTTTTTGGCCTAAAAACCTGTTAAAAAATCTTTCGGGTTTTTTTATCAGTTTTAGTTAGTTAGTTCAGTAGGTTGTTATTTTTTTTAAAGAGTGGTCGAAATAAAAGTATAATATACATACACAACGTATTATAAAGCACATGTACAATAACCTCTCAAGGACTTATAATTAGAGGAAATATAAGTCTCTCACAGAGATGACACGCCAGCAGTTTGTTTTTTATTCGTGTTATCCATGATCGTCAATTAATTTCTGACTGTTATACTCTATGAGCCTGCCTAACTCCCTACGCATGTAAAATAAATAGAAGAAGAAAAATACAAGAGAAATGAAGTTAGTTGAAATGATGAATGATGGATGTAAGAACAGAACACGAATGAGAAGAATATAAATCTGACAGCACACCGTCAGAGAAAGAGACGAAAAATTTCTACTACAAAGAAAGATATAAAAAACAATTTTGAAGAGGTAAGAACGCAACAAGCCGAACTCAACCGTAAAGTTCTGAATAAATGGAGATCAGCTGAGGTCATAAAAAGTTATGGAATGAAATAAGTAAGAATTAAGTTTTTGTACCAATGTGTTTTCTGACCTGACCAGGTCTTTATCTTTCCCTATACTTTAAAAGAGCAGCATCATAGTTTTCAAAAAACTCACGATTTTTGGGAGAGTTTTTCATTTTGAAACGACCATGAACGCTTTATAGTTTTTTGGCCTAAAAACCCGTTAAAAACTCTTTCGGGTTTTTTTATCAGTTTTTTAGTCCAAAAACCTCTTTTATTGCTGTTTATTAATCTACGACCTTTTTTTACAGTGTAAAAAAAACGATAAGAACAAAAAGAAACGCGAAAACAAAAGTACAGAAAAGAGAGAAGAGCATGCAACAACTTAAAATTCATGTCTAAGACGTTAACCTATATATATTGGGAGGAAAGATTGTGACCAATAATCGTCACAATTTCCAATGGAGATACTTGTACTGAACTTGAGCAGTATAACAGCTAAAACAAACAAAGATCCTACCTGCAACAAGATTTGATCTTCTAACAGCACTTTGTAATCAATCAAAACCTTCTTTCATAGCGATCACAGAGATTTGGCTTAATTCTACAATCCCAGACGCCGACATTTCTATTACTGGATATAACATTGAACGTTTTGATAGAAATAGAGAAGGAGAAGGACGTATGCTTTATTTTTAGGACCATCTAACTGTAAAACGATTGACACATCTAGAAAATAAACATTTTGAGGCTATGTTTTTTGAGATATAAATTCCAAAAATCGTCCTATCACTTTTTAGTGATTTATCGTACGCCAAGTATGGGCAATGATGAGACAGATGAATACATACAGTTTCTAATAGAAACAATTTACGACGTAGTCCGAATCCAAAACTATGATGCTGCTCTTTTAACAGGTGATCTCAATGCACACTGTGAGGACTGGTGTGATACCCACCCCTCTACAGCTGCCGGAAAAAAGTTTTTTGACCTTTGTGAGATACTTAATTTCAAGCAATTAGTATGAGAGTCAACAAGAATAAGTTGTGACGGCCAAACAAAACGGCGCTCGACGTTGTATTCACCAGTTCTAACACTATAATTAATAAAATAATAGTGGAGGATCGTTTGTGTACGAATTGTGATCATAAAATTATTAAAATTTTAATTGCATCAAATATCGACCATTTCTCCACCGCTAACACAAAAAATTTATAATTATAATGCTACAGGCTGGAATTACTTTCGTTATACCCTAGTATAAATTCTTAACATAGTTTTTATTCTTTTTTATAATTCTACTTGTATAAACGAAAAAGAAAAGTACTGATACTGGAATCTGGTGTACTAAAAGCAGTTGATAAGTGTGTTACGTCAAAAATTGTTCGACTTTAATCGAATGATCAGCGGTGGTTTATACAACATTTACGCTTTTTGCACAGAAAGAAAAAACGTCTATATCGAAAATGTAAAGACAATTCTTCGGACGAAGATTTTTTTTGTGCCCGGACTTGGTTGATTTGTGCTCGTTTATGTATTTTTGTGCCCGGTCCGGGTACAAAAATATCTTTTTACACTTTTGTGCCTGGATAGAGGATATGTGCCCGGATTTTATTGATTTGTGCCCGGTTTGTGTGCGAGAAAATTTGAATAATTCATAATTCAGTCTAATCCATCCAACCTATTTCAGAATGTCAGCAAATACTCTGTTTTAGCCGCTCATTCTGATTCCGTATCTAAAATTACTACAAATATTCTTTTAGTTCCTAAGGTTTCTCGGAAATCTTTCTAGAAACCAAAGTATTTTCTGTTGATTTTTTCAACTTTATTGAACTTTACGGCATGCTGCAGATAAAATAGAGTATTTGCTGACGTTCTGAAATAGGTTGAATAGACCTAGACTGAATTATGAATTATTCAATTTTTGATGAAAATAATCAAAAATGGGTTCTTTCATCTAGTATAGATTTTCACTCACAATGGAACGGTCTCTACTGATGAGCGAATCGGACGACCGTGTGGAGTGCAAATGATCACACTTATTGAGAAACTAACAAATTTAAAATATGAGCTGCTGATGGCTTACTTTGACAGAGAAAATCAACTTTTAAGTTCTGTATTTATGAGTGCAGAAACATGATAATATAGGAAATATTTATATCAGCTTTCAAGATAATCATCAGATTTGTTAGGAAGTACGTTCCCAAGAACGAGATGAGTTTTATTGACACCATTTAGACTACTTTAGATGCGACTTCTGCTGAGGTTCAATAGTGTCGAGCAGAAGATATACCGGGTACCATATACGGAAACTCATCATTTATCAATAGTTTCCACTTTATTTTACAAGAAGTTGATAAACTAGTGAAGATAATATTTCAAAAGATCTACTATAAATGGAGATGAAGATCTTCAATCAAGTGAAAATAACAAAGATGTCGTTTGCACCAGGCGCAAGTTAGAAGAGTTCATTCTTCACAACGAATAACTGAACAATAGAGGTCATAAAATTTAAAACAAACATCTTTTGGTTTCTTGATTTCACCAACTGTTTCGTTGAGTATTTTCGCTTGCACGAATCCATACTTGATGAGGTTTTTAAATTGTGGGGCAGATAATTGATTATGAATGATAGAATGCATATTAATAAAATATTGACGATCATTCAAGTTCATTTCTGTTCGGTTCATATGCACCTAATGTTCAATTTTCTCATGAATAAATCGCCAAGAACGAAACAATAATAGATCTTGCGGTTGAATATAACCAGTAGACCCTTGAGGAAAAATTAATAATTGACTGTCTTGATGTGGAAATACTGCTCTAAATTTTTTTAAATCAGTTTGAGTTGCCCAGCAATCAAGGAAAATAAGGAATCTTCTACCAACCAAAGGACGTAGAACTTCATTTAAAAATGTGCGATGTTTTTCATCACTGCTTTTTCCAGATTTTGAAGCTCGTACAACAACATTTGGTGGCACGATTAAATCCTTCTATACTCTTGTACCGAATTCATTTTCTTTTTCTTGGAGAATAAGAAAGAATTTATCTAGTAATTGACCATCAGCTGATGGAATAGGCTGCACCGTGTAAGAATGTGTTATATTATTCTTCTTTTTAACAGCATTCACCAGTAAAAGAAAGAGTTCTTGGAGATATATATTCTTGTTGAAATGAACAATGGTCACTGTTTAAAATTTGATCAGGAGAATAATTCAGAATTAGAGATCTTTGATTGTTGATCCAATCGTGGGCATCTAAAATATATACCATATTGAGACGACTATGGAAAAATAGATTAGAATTTTAAGTAAGAATTTACAAACCTTTCAAACTACAAGTTTTTCTTCGTGAAGATATCCGCGTAACAAGTTTGTTGTGCCTTCTTGATGAAATTCGATGTTCCCTCTTGAATCTCGTAATAAATGATTCGCTTGCTTTGAAATTATCCCAACCCAATTCTCTTGCTTTTTGAATTACAAAAAGCTCTAGATCACTATCATGAATTGCTTCTTGTCCAATTATTCGTTTCACCCAGAATTCATTCCACATAAATTCTTTGACTTTTTTTAACTTTTTTGATTTTGTGTCGTTCCTTTCAATATAAATATATTCTCTGAATCTTGTGATATAACACGTATGTTTGACTTTGCGGAATCTATTTCTGATACTTGCAATTTTATAATTTGGATGTTGATCAACCCATTCTACTATATCTTTCATCTCTTCCAATGTAAAATTATTCTGAATATCCAAATATTCACTTTCATCATAATCGTCAACATTCTGTTCTTCATCAGTTGATTCTTCTTCATCACTGCTGTCTTCTCCGTCCATCATTTCATCATATTCATCAGAAAAATCGAGAGTTTGGTAAATATGTAGTTCATTAAAGTGACCATCCTTGAATGTCTTTGAAATTTCAAATAACTGTTGAGAAGCCAAAATGTCATCTTCAGTTGTTGTTGAATTTTCCAAGTGAAATTGCATTTGTGTTAAATGAAGCAGATGTTTCGCGATATTCACCAAATTCATTTTTTCAATCGATTAAGTCAATCTTTTCAAAAGTTAGTCGTAGTGGAAAATAAGAAAGAACGCTACTTCGAATACACATTCGATTGAAACTTACGAATACCAATCGAAAAGCTGTATAATTTCAAATCGTTGTGTAATGCACTAATGCACTTAATTTTCGAATATCTTACATATTAACACTTTTCAAACACGATACTGGTTTTTTCCGAAAGCGACACTGTTGAACCTCAGCAGAAGTCGCATCTAAAGTAGTCTAAATGGTGTCAATAAAACTCATCTCGTTCTTGGGAACGTACTTCCTAACAAATCTGATGATTATCTTGAAAGCTGATATAAATATTTCCTATATTATCATGTTTCTGCACTCATAAATACAGAACTTAAAAGTTGATTTTCTCTGTCAAAGTAAGCCATCAGCAGCTCATATTTTAAATTTGTTAGTTTCTCAATAAGTGTGATCATTTGCACTCCACACGGTCGTCCGATTCGCTCATCGGTAGAGACCGTTCCGTTGTGAGAAAAAAATTAATCACTTAAAAAAATGTTGTTAAATTTTTGACAACAACTATTAACAACAAACTATTATTATTATTATAAATTCCTGTCCATTCTCCGTTGATCACAAGAACTTGGTTCTTGCTAAATGTGTTGAGAATATTTACTACGAGAAAATATGTAAAAAGTTTTGTTCTTTCTTTCCTGGTATTGACTAATTAGCACTAATTAACGTTAATTTAGCCTACTCTACTAGCTTACAGACCCATTTGCAAAATAAAGACTCAACAAACGAAGTCGGGATGTGGCATGAAAAATTTAAAGTACACAATTTGTACTATATACTCATGCATTTTATAGAAAAAGACCCCTTTCAGTTTTCGAGATATGTGACTCTCAATACTGATGATTAACTAAAAATTCTATGAAAAGATAAAATTCATTCTTTTCTTTCTTTCTTGTCTTTTATATCTATCTATTTCTGAGATAAATGTTATGTGCCAAATAAGGAAAAAGAAGTAGATTTTATTCCCATAGATTACAAGCATACAAGATTGTTGATAAACTCTTAATCATTTTCGTATGAGTCTGTGAAAATGTATCAATTAGATTGAAGACTAACTATTTCCTGTTTGCTTCGCAACAAGGAAACTTGGACGTATGTTTATACTGACTAAACTGAATATTCGTGAACATAATATTTGTTCTTGTCTTGCATTGAGTTTCACAGAAAAGTCGTCCTACATGCATGTAGTTTGATCCATTTATTCGTTGATTTGCTTCTTTTTCCGTATTTAGAATTCTATCTCAGAATTAAAATGTATCTTTTTCTAAAATTAGCTCGGGACAGAGTACGACTGTGGTACTTGAATCCGGCATAAAAACCAGAGAGGGATAATCCTAGTCGATTTTATTTTAGACCTATATAGATAGATATAAAAGAGAAGAAAGTAAGAAAAGAATGAATTTTATATTTTCATAGAATTATCAGTTAGGGAACGTTTCAAAATATATTCCGGTCACTTGGTCGTTCTATTCCCCGACTATTCCTCTATTCCGCTCTTCCTCCATCCCCAATTATTTCTCTATTATAGAACATTTTATTGTAAATAAAATGTACATTTTAATATAAATAAAAAATGTTGTCGATTGCATACTAGATTATTAAATTGAAATTTTTCTCTTAATCATTTTCGTATGATTCGTATCGGGGTCCCAACGAGATGTTTGTGCCGTACAACGTAACTCGTCGTGCTGATTTCGAACATGTAAAAATCTCGATTGAAGCATCTCTAGAAAAAAACCATCAAATTTTGATATGCTTTTTTCACTTTTTCAAGAGAGAAGCACATAAAAAGTAAGTAATATACAAAGTGCACAGCAATTTTAATGAACGAAGGAGTATGGAAACATAAATCCTTTTCACTTTTGTTATCACAAAGTTGAAATCTTTTTGTTTAACTATTCTGGGTACCAAAACGGACTTCTACTATGTACAACTTCGCTAAATATTTTTCGCAAGGTCTCAAAATAAAAATGCACTAAAGTGAAAAATGCATCAGAGGTAGATGTCATCGCAATCATGAGTATTCACGGTGTAAGATCGCTTTGTCTTTGGTGACTTTCAGGATGTAGCGAGTATCATGTCGGTCCTGTTTGACGCAGGGAGGATTGGGGCTAAGCACTGGGGCCACGCATTCTCTGAAAGTGCAGGCGTGAATGTTTTCTTCACATACGACAAACGTTACCTTATTGGTAAGCCTCACGTTAGAATCATAAGACATCAGCCGCTCTCACCTTTACTTTGATACCAGATTTTGAATCATAAGGGACAGAAAACTTCGTCCGAAATGAAAATTTCTTTCACTAAAGTTATCGCAGCTCACGATTAACTTTTTAGAAATAGAGTAAAGAAGATAGTTCAACATCACAACAGAAATACGCGGAAAGATTTAAAGGAGGAACTCTTTAAAATTTTTGCTGTGTACTCACTTTGAATTTGTATAAGTTCTTCAGTAAAAATGTCTTTTAGATAGAAATTGTGGAGTACTGAACGCATCGCAGGATCGATGTAAACTTCAAAAAGTCGCATCACGTTCTTGAAAAGTCCGAGTAAAACATGGTGCGATCAAGAAGTACAGTTATGTACAAGGGGCTGTCAGAGTTCCAGTCAAGATTTCCATCAGAATTACGCCATCTATTTGATCCTAAACTCTCGCGAATGTTTCTGTGTTCACTCTCACCTACCCGACGCAAAAGAAGTTGAAGTCTGATGCCTATTTTACTAAGTTCTGATGGATTATAGATGAAACACTAGAGTTTAGAATCCTAACATCTGGTGTATGTCACTGTATTCTGCTATACGTTATTAAATTCTGACGAAGATATATTCCAGTAAAAAAGTCGAATGAAAAATAAAAAATGAGTGTATAGGATGTTAAATTGTACTGAGTGGAAAATTCTTACTGGAATATATCTTCGTCAGAATTTAATAACGTATGGCCGAATTCAGTGACATGCACCAGATGTTAGGATTCTAAACTCAGGTGTTTCATCTATAATCCATCAGAACTTAGTAAAATAGGCATCAGACTTCAACTTCTTTTCTATCGGGCAGGTGAGAGTGAACACTTAGAAACATTCGCGAGAGTTTAGGATCAAAAAGATGGCTCAATTATGGTGGAAACCTCGAATTTTATTTACTAGAACTCTGACAACTATTTATATACCAAATATCACGAGTATAAATAAAATTTAAAAGAAAGATAATATAATATTATTGTAGAATAATAATTAATAATAAATATTACGAGCATGGATAAAATTAAAGAAAAATAAAATGAATAATCATAAAGGATCATTTTAAATCTGTTTTTGAAAAATTTAGGTATTATGCTATAGAGAATCCCATTCTCTTTGACTAGTGAGCACAATGCGGGACGACCTTAATGGGGCATGAAAAAGCTCGTCTAACTGCATAGAGTATCCTACGGGCTAAGGAGCAGGACTTAGTGTGAGTTCTCTTGGGACTCCAGATGAAAATTCTAGCGTGAATGTGTTCTTCACATACGGTTTCTGTGTCGAACCAGAGTTGAGCAACTGAAATATGAGTTTGAAAAAGAGAAACCTTTAACAACAATCTCTAAAAGAATTGTTTTCATTCAGAAAAATAAATAACAATCCTATATACAAGCCAGAAAAACTCAGACAGAAAAACTCAAAATCGATAAAACACTGCAAGTAGCAGGAAAAGAAAACAAGCACGAGTAAGTAAAAGTCGCGATAGGAGTCTTGCTATAGAAAAATTGTGACTCCCCGCGTAGTCACGTCGCGACAGCAGTAGTCGCGTTGCGACAGCGGGAGTCATGCCGACAACAGCTAGTCTGGCTGTAGTTTTGACAAAAAACGGGGCTCACGTCGCGACTTCATGAGTCACATCGCTAGATTAAGGACTCACACCCAAATATTGGGGAAAATATGGGACTCACACAGCGGGAATCATTCGTCATGAGTTTCACGAGTGGATTGGAAAGATTCCTTTTCGTCGTGAGTTTATAGTGATCGCGAAAATCGGGACGTTTTTCATCAATAGCAATCGCGTTACGCTTTCAAGTGATGACTTTTTTCCGTCACTCACGTCGTGACTTTGCCGTGAGAGTTGACCTGGGAAACATGTACCGTACAACTGATTATTTCGCTCCATTTGTCCATATCACGAAGAAGTTCTCTAAAAGTCAAGATCTTGAACATGTTATAATTTTTTGACTTTTTGTATCAATCTCTTGGAAATTCTTGAATCATTGTTTTGTTTTACATTCTTGTGTAAATATAACTTCAATATCGTTATCATGCTCGATCGAAAGTACTGATTTGTTTAATTTCACCCATTGATATCCGGCTGGTCCATAAATCCAATGAAATTGCTTGCTTATTATGTACTTCTTTAAACCTCTTTCGTACGATTTTGACCATTTTCCCACAATTTCGAATGCTAATACTTTTAATCTTGATAATGGCAGGCATTCTCCCAATGTATTTTCATCTTTAATAACTCTGTTTGTCGCTTCTAAAGTATTATTGGTACTTGATATTAAATGCCGAACGACTTCACACCATCCATTATGTGATGTCAGCCATTCTGTCTAGCAGTATTCTATGAAGTTGTGTTGTTTTCATTAACTATAGTTTCATCTGTAGTTATCTCCTCGTCAGAAATATAAGTAGATACTTCATTAATCTCCATTGCGGTTGCCATTTTTGAACCAAATTCAATAGAATACTGGTAAAGAGTGGCTGATCCAACAGATCAATATCATTTATATCTTTTATTTTGAAAATAGCAGCTATATGTATATGTGAACTAACAGGAAAAAGACCCAATGATATTTGGAAGAATCCATAAAGAGAGAGAAAATACTTGAACTATAACAAGGAAAGAGAATACTTGGAAAATACTTTAAAACGAAGAAAAGAAAGGGACAGAAGAAAATGTATGTTAACCGATGACGTCATCATCTGACAACGTGGACAACACGTCTTCTATTCTTACCACAATATTTTCACCGAAAAAAAAAGAACTGGTTACTGATCAAATACTATTTATTAAATGAACAAATATAATTTTAAATGATTAAATTGAATTAATTACTGATATTTTATTTTTAATACTGAACTAATTATTACTTTACTGATCAAATAATTATTTAACTGACCAAACATAATAGTTACTGAACATTCAATAAAATACTGATATTCTAAATTCTTTACTGATAATTTATATTTAATACTGATCAAATTTTACTGATCATTCATAATAAAATACTGACCATTTAATTTGTAGCCATTAATTAATAGTATATCTGCACCTAAGTTTGTTTTGATAATACTATAATGTACAGAATAAGCCGTGATTTGTTTATTTCCATACGTAGATGTCAATGCACGAGCAAATAATACATTTGCCAATTGACTTTGCTGATATCCACTCATCATACTCCAACCTTTTTTCGCATCTTTTTTATCGCTATTCCAATCATCTAACATTTTATAATTTAACGGTGGACCAGTTTGTAAATCTGATGATAATACAACAATTCTTGATGGACCATTGAATATCAACATTGATATTTATCATTTTGTTTAATATACATGACCAATATGATTAACACCTATAATTAGCTCTAATCCATCAATAGTTTTATCATAATTAAAATTCATCAATCCAGTCTTTAATATTAATACATTCAATGGTTTATTTTCTTCTCTAAATTTTTGTGCAATTTTTTTAATACTTGATAGACTATTTATATCACAAATAACACCTTCTAAAGATCCATTAGATTTTTTTTCTTGTAATTCATAATTTATATTTTGCAATACACCCTGCAATTTTGCTTCATCTCTTCCCATAAGATAGACTTTTGCTCCAGCACATGCTAAGTAAAACATGATTCTGGCGTTTACGTATTTGGATAATTAGGAACAGAGTACAAATTTATATACAACAATCACCAATGGAAGATTTAATTCATCACAATGGATGAAATGCAATATACGAATCGATTGTATCATCACATAATAATGGATCAATCGCATTTGTTTATCCATCATTCGGAAAACCAATAGAAGTTTACTTCATTAACAATATTGATCAATTGAAATCAACACAAGCAATAACCAAGGAAAATGACTTATTTACTCGAAGAAATTTACCTCAAACAAAAGTGTATAGTTGAATAAATACAGATGAGCATTGAGTGATTGAAGGAATATTACATTATCCACCTGCCAAGTTTGAATCTAAAAATGTACCTCTTTTAGTCTTTATTTATGATGGTCCTGACTAGGCTAATCTAAATTAACTTAATCTAACTTGGTATCAATGAACTTTGTTGTCAGATTCAGAAGGTAAATTAGTGTTAGAGGCTAACTATCGAAGATCAATAAGCTATGGTGATCAATTTCTAAACAAAATTCGTTATAGACTCTTATCTCAACCTGGAAAAGATATTCTTTCTGGAGTTGATCAATTGTTTCGAGACGAAATTATTAATCCACGCAGACTTGCTGTCGGTGGTTATCGTTATGGTGGTGTTTTAACAGATTGGTTGATTACACAGACTAAATGTTTTAATGCTGCTCTGTCTAGTGCTGGCGTTATTAATCATACTTCAGCATGGGATAGGATGGACCTATCTATATTGCTCAACTACTTGTTTGGAGGATTTCCATGGGAAATACCACATATTTATCAAAATGAAGCATCTATTTATCAGTTAAATAGAGTATGTGTACATCTACACACATTGTTACTTGTGAAAACGATATTCGAGTTTCTGTAAGTCAAAGTTATATATTAGAATGAGGACTTCATTATCTCGTGTGCCAGTAAAACTAATTACTTTTCCAAAGGAAGGATACTCATTGAATGATAACCCTTGGCATGGAAAAAATAAAAGTTTGGAAGAGCTCAAATGGTTACAAAAATATGATAATCAATCACTGAATAACAATGAGTTATCTAACGACAGTGAAAACCTGAAACTAACTTATGCTTTACAATCATATATGTTTTTGTTCTCATTAGTAATACATCTTTGTCTAAAAGCTTTATATAATTGCAGCATTCGTATAATTTATATTTCATAGGTAACGGTGTTAGATCCTTCATACACTGTAAATTTTTTTGAAATTCTATTTTATAGAAAATCGACTTTGAAAAAGCTAAAGCATTTTCAAACTTTTATTATTCATCCATCGAATTTCAAACTTTTAGAAAATGCTTGATTTTCTAAATAATAGAAATTCAATTTGATTTCCTACAGAAAATCGAAACTTGAATATCAACAGTTTATTTTCAAGAAAGTAGAAATTCGTCTAGGAATTTGTATGGACTTTCCTAGAATATCGTTTATGATACTCTATAAGTTATTTTCTAGTTTACAGTGTAGATATGAGACAAACAGTGTATTTTTCTATTCTTGAAACCTGGCCTAGACGCCACTAGATACAATTTTCTTCAATTTCATTACGAATTTGACTAAGTTCATATTATCTTTAAAGTGTTTGTTTTTATTCATATTTGGTCTTGTGAAAATATTTGTTTTATTGTGCAGTAGATGGGACTATATATGCTCAATTAAATAGCTATAACTCGGTTCGATAGTTGATCGATAGCGATTGGATTGAAACATTTTAACTTACTAAGAATTCATTCCCGACTCTGAAAGCATGAGTCTTCATAGCATTAGCATTAAATGTTTGTCCAGATGTTTGCGCTGTAATTGACCGAAACCTATCAGCCAAACAGGAATCGGTTCTAACAGGAAACACGCTATCGCATACTATCACCCATCCAATCCTAGTCGTAAAAGTCAAATTTGTTGCGAAAAATCATGCTCGTAAGACACAATTTCTAACAGATTGTTTCGACGTTGTTCCATGTCTTATAAATGTGTTCATGAGCAATGCCGAGGCGTGATCTTAAGTGCTAAATTATGTTTGATGTCAATGCCAAAATATTATTCACAAAATATTTGATCGAATATACTAAACTATTATAAAAGTCATTCAACACAAAAAGATATGATTCAAACGAAGAGGTTTATAATGCTCGTAATTGTTGGAAATATCCATGTTTCGTGTACAAAAACTTGTTAGAAATTTCTTACTGTTGTCTTATGTCGTATATAATTTTTTTTTCATTCTACGTATATATATATATATATGTGTTCATATGTATTCGTTCTATTATTATCTCTCCAATATTACATTTTCCTATCTCGTTCTTTAACCATTTCTCTTTGTATCTTATCGTTTTCTATTACTCATCTGTTTTTCATTCTAACCCACAGTATCACCAATAAAATATACGCACAGATAAATTCCCAACATTAAATTAACCAGTACAAAAAATATCAAAAATATTTGAATCATTTTTTAAGCTGAAGAATTTAAGAATAGATAATAAGACAAACACCACCTTATACATAATGAAGTTACAATTTCACTTGAGACTAGTTTCGTCTTTATTCAAAAGACATCATCAGTCATATGATGGCAAAAACATTTATCATCTCCTTTTAAG